TACTCCTACTCCTACTCCTACTCCTACTCCTCCTACTACTACTACTACTACTACTCCTGCTACTACTACTACTGCTGCTACTACTACTTCTTCTTCTACTACTACTCCTGCTCCTGCTCCTGCTCCTACTCACCTACTACTACTACTACTACTACTACTACTACTACTACTTCTACTTCTACTTCTACGTCTACGACGACGACGACGACGGAGACGACGACGGAGACGACCACGGAGACGACCACGGAGACGACGACGGAGACGACGACGACGTCGACGGCTACTACTGATTAATTAGCACCACACCCACGACCACTACCTCCACAAAAAAATCGACTGCCGAAACCGCCAAAATCCCATACCATGAACCCTCCTTTTTCAGAGCTGCTAAGGTCAGGCATGAAGGAGAACTGGAAGCCCGCTGCCACTGCCAGGTTTCGCCCGAAATTCCTGGGCAGAGCTCTTGTCTGAGGGTTGAGCTTTAGGGCGGTTAAAGAATTTGGGGGTCTGTGTTTAGAGTTTGGATCAAAGTGAGTAGGGTGTAGAGATTTGGCGGTGAGGGTTTCGGGTGTAGCCTGTGGTTGTTAGAGCGTGGGCTTACAGATGTGATGGTACCGGACGGTTCTCAGCACTTTAGGGGCGTGCAGAGCAAGCGCATGTCATGGGACATGCATGGAAATTGAGTACGTATTGCCTGGGAGAGGATGCTTGTCCTCTAGGACTTAACAATTATGATCCATGTCTTCCAGGCGACGCCATACTCACTGGGATGCATAGGGTGTTAGCTAGAGAGGGTTTTGTGATCCTGCGGAATGAGATACAAGTGCACAGCCTACAGCGCTCCAACTAGAGCAACCAGGCATGGAACCGATATGCATGGTAAACATGCTGCGCCAAGATTCAGCAACGAGTTGCCACCAATGACAAGCAGCCTTCCATGACAAAGCCAGATTGCGATCAGTCGAATGTGAATAATGATACTCAGAAACAAATGCACTTGTGCGCATGTTTTCTGACGATGTCGATGAAGGGATGGCCCATGATACAAGTACCGATTTTGATTGAGCTGCAGACCTTGCAAGAAGAACTGACACTTGAATATATACGCTAGAGACCACACCCGCGGCCTGTCCACGAAGGTCATATTGTGCGGGTTCACCAGGTAGAATGGAAGCGGGATAAAGGAGGAGGCCCACCTGCAGCGCTCTCAGAGGCCCCAGCAAGACATGAAGAGATGAAGAGCCCTCTGTTCCCATGTATAAGACTTGGTATGCAGCTGCTGCAGGACAGGGGGCAGGACGTACAGTTCTTTTAAAGTGGACTATGTTTTGCTTTCCTACGGCCAGGGTCCTGCAGAATCGCAGTGGTCCACCCTGAGGAGGTTTAAAATGGGTCGCAGGATGCATTGACTGAGGGGAGCACGTTCTGCTACATGACCAGCTGTCGGACAAACTTATGCTAGCGATGAGAGGCTTCCACACGGCCGCTTCAAACATTGGTAGGGCCCGGTAGCCTGGACTTACAATGCCTCCCCTGCCCTCCCACCGAATTTCAGAGTGAATCCCAGCGGCGGATTCAGCGGTGGAACGAGGATGGTCGGAACGTTCACCTCTGAGCACGACGCAAGGGCCAAGGAGTTTCGTGGCAGCAGCTCTTCTATCGAAAAGTCAACAAGCCAATTGTCGGTCCAAACCCTGACATTTCATCGAAAAGGATCTGAGCCAGCCCAACCTACATGAAAGGCATCATTTGCGCCAATCTATCCAACATTAGGCCTGGAAACATGGCAATGACAGGAACCCATCTGCATCTCCCGGCAAAAGCCCACCTGCCCCACATGCCCCCATACTCAAAAAGGCTACGAACAATCATCCTAAGGCATCATGAAGGAAAGAAGACGTGTAAGACTGGATCCCAAAACAAAATCAAACAGCGGTGTGAAGAGCAAGAGTACGAATGAATGGTAGAAAGGCAAATACAAGTAGAAGCGTAGTTATCAAAGACTGCTACAGGGCCTCTAAAGTATGAATGCTAAACCATATAGACCACCCTGTAACGGACACCCTCAACCCTGGAACACTAAACCAAATCCTCAGCCCTGCACTCTGTCGCTACAATCCTAAAACTCCCATCGGCCTAAAACCCTGAGACCCTGGACCAATCAAAAGCCCTAATGCCCCTGATTACGGCCTGTTGACCCTAAGGCCTAAACCTGAGTCCTTAAGCTCTGCTTCAGTCCCGGCAGCCGCAAAGTCGATGCCGCGCTTCTGCAACTCGCGGCCCACGAGGCCGAAGGGGAGCCCCAGCAAGGCGAAATCCGGCTGCCTCGGTCTGCAGGGTTTTTGGGGGCCTCAGCATGGCTGTGCTGGTGCTAGGCATGGCGGGTGCTAGGTCACGGATGGCGGTTGGCGGGTGGCAGTTGGCAAGAAGCGGGTGGCGAGTGGCTGGGCCAGGGCCGTGGTGGGGAAGCAGGCAGCGGAGTGATGTACACAGTACAGAAATTGGAATCGGTTCAACCCGACGGCTTCCGTAATTTGTGACGCTCCTAAGCCATAGGCCTGTGGTGGGGTAGAGTGTAAACTTCCTTCGGGGCACTGTGAAGATCAGGCTTCGATTGCAGTCCAACACAGCACATTTAAATGCACTTACTTACTGCAATTACAGCACAGTTACAGTTTGACCACAGCTTGGAGCGGACAGCTGGTAAAATGAGCCGAGGGTCACTTCCCCAGCCTCGAGTGCCTTGGACACTCCCGATGGTAGCTGCTCGAAGTAGGGCGTCATCACGTTCTTCATCATGAAGGAGATCTGACACAGGCACGCCAGGACAGTTGCAGTCGAGAGTGGTGAGCAGCATGCATGCGCAAGCACGGCAGCCAGATCGGCCCCTTAGGCAAGAGAGACTCCTGCCACTACTGGGCACGAGCATACAAGCTGGTGTGGCGGAAGGTTGGGAGCGCTCCTGCTGATCCATAAGCACTCGAGACGCATCCACTTGCAGATTTGCGGCCTGCCTGGTGCATCGTGCTGTTCGTGGTCAGCATTTCGCGCACCAGTGCTTCCTCCTGGGTAACGTGCCAAGCCCTTGAACGGCTAGCTACCGAAACGCATGCAATGTAGTACTGGCTGCCCGAAACTTAAGGGCTGGAACTCCCTCTCCTTGTCATCGCTGACAGGCAGCTCACCCAGGCTGATGTAGTTCAGCTTGCATTTGGGAGAGTATTTTGCCACCTTCTGCCGTCCTCGCAGCTTGCATAATATACCGAATCGATTCACTGCTGCAGGGCGGCGGCGGAAGATCACGGCGGGGTGTTGTTACAATGAAAGTGTGCGTGAACCGTGCTATGCAAAGCAATTTGCTTGATCTTATGCTAGCAGGGCTTCCCCTACAGTTGCAAGCCTTTGACATCTGCTAGTAGCACGAGGTGCAGCTCCATTTTGAAATTTGCGAAGCTCTTGCAACTAATAAGTGCAGACAGATCCTCGGTCTGCGAAGCTCATGACCGTGACGTTGTGGCCTCTGAGGCAGAGCTCCTGATTGCAAATGGCCTACCAATCTGCGCTGAGGTGTCGTCTTGAATCCTTTGAACACTATCAACCCGCAGCCATCCCATGGTGCAAGCGCACTATGCTCTCCTATCGTGAGAAGTGATTTGGCTTGCAGCACCTACTGAATAAATAGAATATGTTTTTTTTGCTTTGAGCGGTCTGCCATGTTTGCGGGGTAATTTTGGTCGCTCCCCCATGTTCCCCTAGCGGCAACAGTTGCCACAAGAGGCAGCGAGGCCATGATGGAGCTCCTGCGCGATGGAGACGCAGTTGTGAAGCGGGGACAGCGGAACTCCAACAACGAGAAAGTGATACTTCCTGGTGGCCATGACACCTGATCCGGGAGTGTGGGTGTAGAGCTTGGATAGCGAGTGGGCCTATGTATAGCATGCTTCAGGGCACTACCAGGGGACACATCAGGGCACAATATTATTGTGACAGTCCCAGAGCTACAAAGGCCAATACCCGTAGTTAACAAGTACAAGCATGCCTCAAATCGCATAAGAACCCGATGAGAAGCTTGACTTTGTGATTTGGGTCCTTCTTGAAGTTTCTTGGATCAGATGCTGGTATCTTGAGAGGCGTGCGGAGTCACCCGTGACTCTGAGAAATGACCACATGCCTCAATGAAGCTTTTTGGGGCTCTCTGTCGCCAAGGCCTCCAAGATCTGAGCTGCTCATTGCACTGTAGGATCCGGCAAGTATGCAACCAGAAACCCGGAGTCGAGGCGACTTGAAAGCGGGGTTGCGTGGCTGTTGAATGGCTTGAGGCAGCGACGCCAGCGGATTGGTTGGTACCTGTGATGTATCAAAATCTGCAAACCTAGGCATGATGCGAGGCCGGCGCGACTCTGTTGAGTCAGACTTGCAGGCTGACCACGCGTCTGACGTGACGGGCTTCATTTGTGCCTTCCCTAGCTTTCTGTCTACATTGGGTTTGGGAGCACGCTTGCATCGTGGGCAGCTTGCTGTTTTCACTTGCAATCAGATTGCGCAAGGCTGCTAAGACGACTGAGCCTGGAGTTTCTTGGGGCTCCCCTTTACGTGGCGAATGTTCGCACCACCCGAAAGACTGAAATGGAACACACGATGGTTGCAAGCTTTTTCGAGTCTGTTTCTCCGCTGCTGCTAGCCTTGCCATGGCATGGTGCTTCTGCTGGCAAGGGGGTGCCTAAAAGGCGTGTTTAGTAGATGCCCAGTTACCCACGAATATTTCAAGCCACACTGAAGCCCATGCCACGACAAAGTTTCCCCGACTTGCGGCGTCTCTCTGCTAACCAGGTTCTAAATTCAAAGGCAACCTTCTGATTTTCTCAAGGCTTCCCCGGAGGTGCAACGAACAGCAATAACAGAAACAAGATCAGTGCAAGTCCACAGAATGAGATAATTTGAAACTGTTGGTCATGGCATCTGACTGCCTTGCCCGCCAAATTAGAGGCTTTCCTTTGGATTGGCAGGATTCACTTCCCTTCTTGATAAGAGACGGTGACCAACTTTCCTAGAAGATTGTGGATGCTGTTGAGAAACTCAATGCACTACCTTCCATGTTGTTGGGGCTAAGGACAAAGGTCTTTCACAACAATAACTTCAATCCCTCAGTCACTGCTGAAGCTGTTCGGCTGGACCCTCGAGCCTGAGCAAAATTGTGCCGACAACTCACTCCAGATACAGAGAGCCTCGTATCAACCGTTGTGCCTGAACGTTGTCGCCTTTCCCAGCTTACATCCCTTAGGGTATTGGGGAAGCCCCAAGTCATTTATTCATGCTGGATCATTTCGCAGGTCTTTGCTGCACGATAAGAAAGGCACCAGTGCTGCTCCTGGGCAATTCAAAGCTGAGCACGCACTTCCAGACCGTTGTATCAACAAATGTCGTAATTTCAAGGTGCGTGAGCGTCCTGTCGATTTTCGACAGCCTGTCGGTTTTCGACAGAAATCAAGACACACGGCTTTGTCTAGTCGTCGTCGCTGTGCTGTCAACGAGCCTCTGGGAAATGTGGACGATGGACCATGTACAGCTATCAGCTTCCAATTAACTAGGCCTGAAAAGGATGCAACATTCACTTTCTGTAGCCAGCCTTAACGCAGTCGTTGATTTCAGACGTTCCGCCAAAAATGACCCAGAATCATGGACCATAATCCTGCAGCTCTAAACCCTGGGTACAGCGACCTTTGGCCTGCTGAAGAAGTCCTTGCTCAGAGCTTGGAGGTTAAGAGCCAGCTTCCAAGAGAGAACGTGTCTGAGGTTTGTTTAGCCCGAAGAAAGGTACTTTATCATCAAAGTAGGGAAAAGAATTCTTTGATTCCTCGTTAAGATTGTATATGCTGGAAGTTTCAAGAACCTCCCATGTGGAACGGCAAGCACGAAGTCCTGGTACTTGTGCCTGGTTGTCAACGTGCGTGCGCTGCTACTGCTACTGCTGCTACTACTACTCCTCCTGCCTCCTGCTGCAGGCATCACCACAACGACGACAGCTACACCTACTACGCCTATCCTCCTCCTCCTGGTCCTCCTCCTCTACACTTTTTCTTCTTCTTCTTCTTCTTCTTCTCACTCTTCCACTTGGTGTTCTGCTTCTTCTATCTAGCACGACAAACATGAGACGAAACATACCGTCACAGTAGTGACAGCAACAACGAGACGGATTATAACAATAAGACTCGTGGTAACCGTCCCGGTAGTTATAGGATGATAATGGGCATCACTTCATCACCAGCATCATCAACAACAGCAGCAACAACAATCTCTATGTACCATAAGTCGTGCCATGCACAGCTTGTTGTGATTCAGGGTGACGCCTCTGCAATGCATGTTCAAAACATTCAGGGTGACGCCTCCGCAGTGTATGTTCAAACAACCGCCTGCCACGCAGGACACAGCTACAGGCTTGTGGCGCGCGCAGTGCCAGTCTCAGTGCAATCTCAAACGGATTGCTGCAGCCAGACCATGGACAGGAGAAAATCTAGGAAGCTAGAATGCCTTTTGGTCGCATATGTCTACCGACGTCGCATTTCATTCTGTACATATTCTACTGCAGTGAGTTGCAGTCACGTACATTATGCAGCATTCGCATCTTTGACAGCCGTGGGGGCTGTTGAGTTTCTATTCCTCCTCCGCATCGATCTCTCTTGCCAGAACCACAGATTGTCTCAAAAAATGACATTGTCAGCACTTGGAGTCTAGGGTACTTCTAAACCATTTACTCATGCCAAATCTTACCCGATTATGGCCAAGGAGCTATAGTGAGGGGAGCTTTTGCTGAGTTATGAATATACCTGCAAGTTGTGCTATGATTAAAACCATGGGTTTCGAAGTATAGTGCACTACTTCTTGCTCCCTCACTTTAAGGCCTTGCTATGCGTACTGCCGCAACTTGATAGGACACACTTCAGAAACTGCGCGTGCGATGGCAAAAGCTTCTGAACATTTCTGAACCATACCACGCCCTTCTCAGCTGGATTATTTGATGATGCAAGACGCTAAAAACTGGTGCAGAATACTTATTATGCTGCGCGCCAGGCGCCATGTTGTTGAGCTAGCATCTGGGCCTTTCGCATGTCTCTAGACGTATCTGCTGGGAAACGCAGGTGTGAACGGCCCTTACTTCGCAAAGTACTGCTCCTTTCGGGCTGCAGCCTCACAAGCACTTATCAATCCTGCGGACATGCATGACAGTTTGAGAATAATTCGCCAGGAGGCCAGCTCGGTAGCTAAAGCTTCTGAGTTTCAGAGAGTCCAAGCAGCCTCCAGCACTGAGCCAGTGTCTCAAGCGGTCAGCTCACGGATCGTGGCAGAAGCGGCACTCATCACCAAAACGACAGATCCCGTTGTCACCTGAACACAAAGCTTTAGACAAAGTACCATGAAGTTGTCACTGCTCAGCTGACCACCACTGCCTGAAGCAAATGGATACTGCGGACACGAGCTTGGGCCAAGGCAGAAATCAAAGCAGATGCTCTTGCCACCTGCAGCAATGACACAGTCGCAGGCGCATACACAAGCTTGGCTCTTCAAATTTGCAAGATTCCAGGTCCGCTGCATCCAGCACTGCCGAACATGGGGTGCCGCCAGCCTCCTTTCCCTTTGCCACTGCCCCTCTTACCTGCCAGTATGAATCTTCTGTTGCTGAACGTCATTGTGCCATCAACGATTTCTGTCTCCTTAAACCATCCTCACAACATGTTGCTTTCGAGAGGTTTACGCGTGTCACATGTACTGATGGATACAGGCCTCTGCCCCTGTCATGCTCGGGACAGTCGCGAGCTAAGTGCGGGCCGCCGCCTTTCATCAGGGTTGGCAAATTGCCAATGTTGTTGAATGCGCATGTGAGGGGCATGTTTGAGTATCTTGCATGAGAGCACGTAGCTACAATGAACCAGCCTTCAGGTAGTTGGCACATACCACATGTAAGGAAAACTTATCTGACAGACAGAACATGGTAGTCAAGGAAAAGACCCCAAGAAAAAAAAAGCATTGCTCGTGTGGAAACTTGCAAGTAGTGCCTGAAATTAACCTATGTATATATATATATACATA